TAGTAACTGTATCTGATGTTTTTCACACCGAGTCCAAGAAATGTTTATAGTTTCTTAAATGTGTCTCTAGTTGACATCTGATCGTTCCGCTTCTTTTTATAAACACTGGAGTTATTTTTATCGTAAGAGTTGTTGTCCCTTGTTAACAATTCTGATGGTAATGATGCTATAGAACCAAAGTTATGAGACTTTTGGAATCTTCCCGCATTAAAATATCTACTCTTAAGATCGTCCAACTACACTTCTAAAGGAACCAAATATAAAGTTATGAGACTTTTGGAATCATCCCGCATTAAAATATCTACCCTTGAGATCATCCAACTACACTTCTAAAGGAACCAAATATAAAGTTATGAGACTTTTGGAATCTTCCCGCATTAAAATATCTACTCTTGAGATCATCCAACTACACTTCTAAAGGAACCAAATATAAAGTTATGAGACTTTTGGAATCTTCCCGCATTAAAATATCTACTCTTGAGATCATCCAACTACACTTCTGAATGTAGAGTTTTTATTGTGCGAGTGTTATAAGATGTACACGTGTCAGTTTACAAACAATACTGTTTGATGAGTAATTGTTTCAAAATGTTTCAATGAAGGATCCATCTAAGTAGTTTAAACATTGTATAATAGATAACTAAAAGTGACGTAAGCTAATTTCGCAAAATGTGTCAGATATTTCCGGAGTGTAAGTCATACGTTCCTACAAAAGTAGCAGGAAAACTCGGAGACGTACGTACTTAATCCATCTCGGTGTCATTCGTGGATATGTACAGGATTAAAGAGTTTCGACTTTAATTTCTCCGGACATGTGCGGAATGTAACTAAGAGAAACTTACATTTTTATCATTGTTTTAGTTACGTGGTGAGCTTCCCGTAGATCAGTGGTAAGCTTGTGAGCTTATAAAGTTTCCTAAACATTTATCTGCGTCCCTTCTGATATTTGTTTGTTTGTTTTTGAATTTCGCGCAAAGCTACACGAGGGCTATCTACGCTAGCAGTCCCTAATTTAGCAGTGTAAGACTAGAGGGAAGGCAGCTAGTCATCACCACCCACCGCCAACTCTTGGGCTACTCTTTTACCAACGAATAGTGGGATTGACCGTCACATTATAACGCCCCCACGGAGATTGCGAGTCGAGCGTCCTAACCACCTGGCCATGCCGGACCCACAACATGTGAAATGAATATCCATTTATGAGATCTACAGTGTACACCGTAATGAATACACCAAATAGGCTGAAATAGGGAAACGACCAGAAGAATGACAAACAGATGGCAGCACCTGTCTCCTATAGATCTACTCTTTAAAAACTATCGGGATTAAATTTTATAGTTATAACAACAATAAAGATGAATTGCGGAACAATAACCATTGAGCCACTCCCTAGCTCAACATGTATGTGAAATACTTTTAGTTGACACAAGTTAACAAGGATAATATTGTACTGTTCTTCTAATTTATTAAATGTCCAGTTACTAAGTCTAGTAGTGTGTCGTTCTTATATTTCAATAAATATCTAGTTGAAAACTCTGCCACTGTAATGTTCCATGGTTTACCAAGTGTCTCCAATTACCAAGTATAACACTGTATTACTTCTATTTCATTAAATGTCCAGATGACATTTAAAATGTAATACTGTTTTTCTTTACTAAATGTACCATTACCAACTTTAGCACTGTATTTTTATCGTACTTCTAAATACGCAGTTGAAAATTCTAGTTTACTATGTACAGTTACGAAGCCAAACTATTTACTGTTTTTCTAAATGTCTAGTTGTGAAGTGTAGTAACGTACTGTTCTCCTAGTTCACTAACAGTCCAGCAGTGATCTCTACTACTATACTGTAAGTTTAAATTTACTATATTGTTCTTCTAGCTAACTAAATTATATTTTCCTTTAGTTCATTGGTATTCAATATTAGTAGTGTTCATCTAATTCACTAAGTGTCCAGTTTTGAAATCTACTACTGTTCTGCTCATTTACGCCCAGTTGCTTAGTCTATTACTCCAGTGTCCTTCTGTTTCTTCATTTACAAAACCTATCTACTGGTGTGTCTGTTTTTCACGTAAATTAGTCTATACTTAATAACTTTTACTGGCATTCAAGTTTGTTATATGTCTAGTTGCCAATTTTATTTCTACACTCTTATTGTTTCGAGTTATCAGTTGTATACACTGTATTGTTATTCTAGTTTACCATTTCAGCTATAACTAGCACTTTGTATCCTTCTCCATACTGTTGCTTGCTTTTATTTCAAGCTTGGATCGAATTTACTTTTGAGTTAGATAAGAGGCTAAAATGTTTTAATGAAAAACACAGCAAAGCTTCAGATGAACCAAACAACATTAGTATTTAATATTACTGTCAGTTTTTGTGTTGTAGGAGGGAGAAGGAAAAAGTAAATAATGTTGACGTGTTGTAGACAGGTTGAACGGAATAGTGATAATTGTTTCCTTTGTTATCAAAAGAAGAAAATGCTCAGGCTCAATGTAGCAATCAAACGCCAAAAGTCACCACCAGGGGTTAAAACACTTCCTAGTCCTAGTCCTAGAAAAGAAGTATTTTTTATTATAAGTTACTCATATCCATGATCGCATTAAAAAGTTTTCTCTACCCTAACATTGTAATCTTCTAATAGTAATACACAAATTAATTATGATAATTTTGGATTTTCGTAATAGGACTATGGCATCATAAATTTACATTATTATCGATTTAATTTTCTCATTTTTAATTTATCTTTTCAGTAGATGGCACCACCAGCACTGTATGCAATCTCTTCTCAAATTACTTGTATTAAATGCACTGTAATTTTCTAATACGCTCAGATTAATTCTGATAATATAACAAGATTAAAGAGGGTTCGTAAAGCTTTATTTAGCTACTTTCTTATTTAATATCATTACTATTAGTATTCTTTGGTTAATTTGTACGAGAGACAATGTCTCTGAAGTTAAAAACGTAACAAATGAGAAACGTTCGTTTTAGTGTTTAAATATCAATATAGAAATGGCCTTGGGAATGTGAAATCAAGGTTCTTTCTCTTTTGCTCTATTTCATATAAATTAATAGAAAATCTATAAAATACTAAAATCTAACTGTAGATCGTCTAGAAAGTAAACAACTTTAAATGTGTTCTTACAAGTAAACACATCTTTATACAAAACAATTTTGATATTAACTACTGATCACCGCAAGCTACTTGCGTGATTAGGAATGAAGATTTATATACTTAGTAAATAAGTATAGCTAATTAAATATACTGTTTAAAACAACAGCCTTCAATTGGTTCTCAAAATACTGAATTTATCACAGTTCCTACTGATACAAAAGAAATTTGTTTCAGTATAAATTACTTTCCACATTCCTATTATACCATTAAAAAGTCTTACTTACTCTAAAATTGTAATTTTTTAATACTGATACACGTATTAATTCCTATAACTTTGTCTTCTCCTGGTATAATTAGATCAAAGGTGTTCGTAAAACTTTCATGGCATATTTAATGTCATTACAAGCAGTGTTTTCAAATCAGTTATAATTATAGTGGGATTTAACCCTAGATTATTCCGCCGTGTAGTATAGAAAGGTTAGACCAAGACGAAAATATAAAAAAAAGTAGTTTAATAAAACAGAAATGAAAAAGAAGAATAGTGTTAATTTTTGAAATAACGAATGAACCTTAGAATAAATTTCACTCTAACATCATGTTAAGTCTAAAAGTATCTCTCTTTCTATGTTTTCTTCATTTCC